CCCATCCTTCCCTCTTCTGACAATGAAATTTACATTTTTTTATATAAATATTCTTCTGCTGTTATTTTACCAAGTTGTTCAATAACATTCTCAAAATATGCCATTACTTTTAATGCATTCAAATTATAGATTTTTGTATAAATTATTATTAAATAACAAATTTTCAGTAAAGTTTTGTGCCCTAACTGGCATCTGTATTTACACAATTAAATTTTTATGCAATGAATAAAAATGAAGTTTAAAAGAAGATTTAAATTAATCTTTTTTTCTCATCATAAGTTTGAATTTTTTTCTTTCCATCTTGTTTGGAGAATGAGTCATTTATTTTTTTTTTACAGTAATTCTTAAAGAATATGTTTGTGGCAACATGTGTTAAGAAGTCTGTTGGATGAGCGTTTGTTTTCATGTCTGAAATGGCAAATATTTTCATCACTACATAACTCTTCTGTAGTAAGCTGGGCTGCAAGAGCCCTAAGATTTTTAGATTAAAAAAAAAATTCATTTTCAAAAGATATACTTCGATATAACAATGTATATAATAATAGTGATAAATTCATCACACAGATATTTCACCCCCCATCTAAATTTTTTATCAGTTCACATGCTCCTTTATAATCAGTCTTTTAATAATAATACATGATCATTAAAAAAAGCACAATTTAATTTTTTCATCACAGAATGCACACAATAACCCGCTATATATGTCAGTGGACTATCTTTAATATTTGTGATGCCTTGTTTGTTTACAGGAAATCTGAATGAAGTTACTTCCGTTTCCTCTACGTCAACATCCATCTTTTGCTCATATTCAGTCCAACTTATGGTAATTTCACCATGAATGGCAGACTTTAAAATTAGTGGAAGAAGAGAGCGAATCTGAACTTTTTCTCTGTTTCATATACTTGTGTAATAGATACATTATACTGAGATTCACAGAACTGTCTCTATTGACTGATTCGATCTCCTAAACTATCTGTTTGCAATTTTGCTGTTAGAACACATTCTTGATTTCTTCCTTCTATGCAGTGTTTCGAAATTTCTAAAATAACATATGTTGTGTGCTTTAATGTAAGAAGAGTTTCTTTCAAATAACAATTTTCCATTTCTCTTACCAACACAAGAACATATTTAATAATTTAATTCTTTGATCATCTACTAAATGTGCATTCGGATCCTGAAAAACAAAGTTTCCTGAAGTTTATGTTCACCCTAATACAAAGATTTTACATTAACTATGTGCCACTTAGGTGCTTAGAATTCAAATGTATACAGCAGTTTGCTTCCAGTCTTGAATATCATATATAGGACCAGTAATACAAAGACCTTCAACCACTTTCAAATTAAACAAATGAAGAATTAATTTAATATTTTGTCTTTCTAGATTGTTCGGATACAATGACTTAGTAGTCAGACTAGGGCAACACAATAACGCTGTATTCAATATCATGAAGTTTCCTTAAACACAATAAAGATGCTGATTTTAAAATTTCTGCAGATTTTGTTTCTGGTGTTACAGGAAAGTCTGGGAAATACACGCATTGCACTAAATTATTTTGTTTAAGCCAATTATTGTGAACACATTTAAGCATATGAACACCGTCAATTATATAAAACTATGGCCAAATAGGATCTATTGGATGTTGGTATACAATATTAATTTTTGGAGGATTAGCAGAATATGAAAGAGCTCGTCCGTTTACAGCATTATTACCTGTAGCAACACATATTACACGAAAACCTAAATTTTCTATATCTTTTATTATTTTCATAACATATCCACACAAATACTGTGTGATAATGCTTTAACTGGTACAATACTTATAACATCTTTATATGAAGATCTAATACTCTGTAGAATTAGCAGCTTTTTCATAATTATATGCCATTCCCAACTTTGAAATGTAGAATGCCTTAACATGAATTTCGTCAATCATTAAAATGACATATTTATCATTTTCATCTAAAAAGCAGATTTTTTTCCTTGGCATAATTCAAGAAATTTTCAGCAGTTTGCTCCACTTTAGGATCAACATTATACTCAGAACACATTCTGTTCAATGTAAAAGGACATAGAAAAGTGACATATGCACTATTTCTTAAAAATTTATAGTGATGTGGAAAACCTTAAACCATCAAACTTGATAATAGTTATTTTTATGCAAAAGGAGTAATGAGAGCTGCTTAATAAATTTCTAAAGCTCTTTTCATTGTGATCACACTTAATTCCTGAAACTTCTTTAAGCAATGAACAGAGATTATGCACACTATTAATTTTTAAAGGGAATTCATAGTTACTAATTTTTGTTAATGGAATACCTTTAAAATATGCTTTTATTTGCAGATCCTCATGGATAATGACTGAAACAGAAATAGACAAACAGATTCTGCACTTATATGGAGAAAAATATATTATTTTCTTTAATTACAACTGTTAAAACATCAGGTATCTTAACACTCTTTAGACATGATAAAAGCTCACTCAAATTACTATAATAATATTCCTTTGCATATTTTTGATGTTCTGGTATGCTTTCAGATCTGCTTCAAGTTCCTCAATTTCCCTTATCTATTTTTTTCTTCAGCGGTTCTTAATGAAATAATTTTGTTGAATACAAATATTTGAGGCAAGCACTGAAAACTGAGGGAAAAGCATTTTCTCGCAGTTGCACTTGTTTTAATGGAACTTCTATTTTCATCGTAATATTCAGAAAAACGCTGAAAAATTTTTTCGTGGAAATGTAATTCATGAACCTAAATCCCACAAATGTAAGCACAGACCTAATTACTAATAGTACAGTAATAAAAGTAGGATTTCTTATAATGCAATTTCTTTCTGAAGAAAACGGGTAGTATCATGTATATGTGGGGATGATAAAGAGATTTAAAGTGAGTGCGCTTTATTCTGAAGTCAAGAATACATAGCAACAATTCCGTACACTACACCAAAGGATGTCTTCATTGTCATTAATAAATTAGACATCAAGAAAGCTCGACGCTTCAATGGTATTTCAAATAGAGGTAGTAAAGGAGGTATCTAAGAGATTACCATCTAGTTGGCAACATTATCAATGCTTACCTATGTTTATCATACTTTCCACAGCAGCAGAAGTATGTAGTGATTATTAAATTCCTAAAATAAAATAATAATGAAAAACAAGGTAACCTTCTAGTTATCATCTGATTAGCCTCCTTCCATGCCCATGGAAGATTTTTAAATAAATTATTCACAGAAGACTTATGGAACAGCTTGAAATCAATGATGTTATTAATAAACAATTCAGATTCAGGATAGGACAAACCACCATCATCCAAATTTTGAACGATTTAGAAAACATAGCTGATGCATTCATTAAGAAACAATGCATGACAGCATACTTCCTTGATATGGAAAAGGCCTTTGATCATATATGGCATGAAAGACTCCTTTACAAACTTGTAAAAATTAACTTACCATTTGCAATGGTCAAACAATTCAAGTCATACCTGGAATGTCAAACTTTTCAAATTAAAGTAGGGGATACTCCATCAAGTAAAAGGATTATTCACACAGGAGTGCCACAAGGATCGGTCTTAGTGTAATGTCTTTAACATTTATATAAAAGGTTTATCTGAACCACTCAATAGCAAAGTTGTCAAATATGCAGGTGATACAGCTGTTATGAGGAAATCGATCAGACCTAATGATGCAATTGATAATTTGCAATTCAGTCTGAACATTGTTCCACAATGGCGTGACTTACAGAAATTTACACTTAATGCAGTGTCATCCTGTTTAGATGTTACAAGAACAAACACGTGAATCTAAACCTTAAGATTAATAATCAGACTCTCCCAGTTGTACATTCCATAAAATATTTTAGGAGTAGATTTAGATGAACAACTAAACTTCAAAGAACATGCAATATATGTAAGGAGCAAAGCCAATGCTCCTCATATGGTAATTTACAGTCTCATAGGGAGAAAAATGTAACTTAGATTTATGCATCAAAAAAAATTTATATGTCAGTCTAATTCATCCTGTTTTATTCTATGCAGTCTCCGTGTGGGCAACAGCACTCACGACTTACAGGAAGAAAATCAAAATTTTCCAAAAGAGCATTTACTAGCACACCATGGTTTATGCAATAGCAACAACTGCATCAAGACCTTGAAATTCTGGATGCGGACAAGATTATATTATTGCTAGTTCTCAAAACTTCTTCAGAAAAATTATGATCAGCAATTATGCCCATATTCCTCAGTTATCTGACTAAGACCTTAGTACTGAAATACCTTTAAACGACCACACACAATTTACCACAATGCTGCATATTAATCTGCATTGTAATTGTACCTGTATTTATTGATTATATTTCATATCTTAGTAACTAAATTTAGTGCAATTATTATCCCATTGCTCCTGTGCTGTGTACATCCAAGACTTCAAGAATTTTTCTCCATTTCATGTTTCCTACAGCTATTAGCTGACACAGCATACTAAATCTATCTTCTTGTAAGAAAATTTTTATCACCAGCTCGAACTAGCACGTACTTCTGCAATGGAATCGAAAAGTAAAATGCTGTGGTAGCCACAACAGTTTGCCATAGAGTTTGATTTTTTGCTTTACACTTATGTATACATAAAGCCAATGGTCTAGAGCTCTCCTAAATTCAGGTAAAAACCAACTGGTTGTATGCTTGTTTCAAAGCCAAGGCCACATGGTACTGAACATGTCAGTCTAATCTAAAAAGTACTGATTATTTACAGGTATCTCTAGGAATATTACATACACTACAAATGCATATTAAACTATTCATTAAATTTTCATTTTAGCTTCCCTACTAAATCCATTTTTCAAACATTGGTTCTAAATTGCCATAATGTCAAACCTAGGTCATTTCGAAGAACTTTTCGATTCCATTGACTTCAAGATATTGCTAGTTTACTGTTCTTAAATCAACTATTATAAAATAAAGGTTAAGATAAAAATTCCAAATTTCATAGAAATATTTCTCTTAGCCTCTTTAAAATACAACTTTTTTTTATTGATGCATGTTTATTTAACAATTTCTAACACTTTTAAATTAATTAACATCACCACTAACTACACTGCTGTCACTAGAATGGAATTTTTCCCCTGAATGAGTGAAGCACACACAACATATAAACACAAGTTATTAGTTAAGAACATGGGTTAATACTTCCAGGAAATGTCACATTTTGACAACCATATCCATGCTCTCGAACTGGAATACGAAAAACACGCCCACTTGGCATACAAATACATAATTTATACCAACGAGGAGCACTATCTTGAGTTTCTGCAGCAAAAGATATTTTTTCAGCAGAAATCATAACACCTTTAGCTCCATCCAAGATGATACTCTGATTCTGAAATCAAATTAAATGGTTTAAATGAATTTTTTATATCATTACCAGTAATAAAAAATTTCAGTTACTGCACAGAAATAACATAAACTTAGAGAAAATTTTAACATGCACATAAAAGAAATTGATATCTTTTTGCACACATACCACACTTTTTAAATATAAATCAAGCCCAGTTGTCCATATTATTTCCTTCCCAGCCATAGTGAGACCTTCATTTCCTTTCAAAATTATCTGATATGGTGAAGTAATTTCGAGAGATTCTGTTTTCTTACTGACAATCTGTGAAAAAATATTCCAATGAAAAAACAAAAAAGGCCCATTCTAGTTATATCTAAATACATTTGTTAACATAGAAAGTAGTAAAATAGTTTGTTCTGAGCAGCCAGTATAACTCAAGAACAGGCCTCTAGTAACTGAAATATGGAAATACATATAGGTAATGGAAGTTTAATTCAGTTTTCAGTGTATATTTTAAGTACATGATCAAGTAAAAAGTTTAGATTGTGATAATAACTTATTCAGATCCATCTGGGAGTATCCATCTAATATTACCGTAATTTCCGGAAGAAAGGCCGCATCAGCGTAAACGCCGCACTCGAGAAAAATGGCGGGAAAAAAATTAAAATTACACAGAAACGCCGCAATAGATTAAATTGCGCGTGACATCGTCGTGGGCTGTATAGATGCAAAAACTCAACCTAAGTCCTGATATATGACATATCAGTTAAGAAAAATGCATGAAATGAAGCCATAACTCAAAAATAAATTAAAGGTAAGAAATGTATAGCTTCTGTGCCGTTTAGAGACATTTTCAAAATTTTCCGCTCCCTTCTACTTAAAACTATTCACAGTACTTGTACCCAAACTGTGGATTGTATGGCAGAATGCCAAGAAAAATCCATTCATGCAGGGAAATACGTCAAGTTCGTTTGTGAGGCAGGTGGAGTCGTGTCGCCTTTGAAAAAATGCAGAAAAGGCAGGGGTGGGGAAGGATGGGTCCTGGAGATTCATCGATATCAGAGAAGAGAGACTATTCAACTGATGAGAATGTGATTTGAAAGGGGGAAAATGTTTTGTTCTGAATCTCGTTTATGGTGAATAAGCATGTAGGTCCGTTCAGGGAAAGAATGTAAACAAAAAACGTTCGCAAAAAGAACTGATGTGGTCTTTTTGGGAATAGCACCAGTCTATGCACAATGACAGCCATCCAAACTATGTACAATGACCATTGTAGGAAATATTTTATTTTTAGTGCGCCTAAACGCCGCATGGGTAGAAACGCCGCACCCGCTGAAAATTTAAGTTTTAAACACATAAACGCTGCGGCGTTTCTTCCGGAAATTACGGTAATCTCATATTTAAACTATTACTGAGAAAAAACAAGCATTTTTACCATTAGCAGGCATTTAAAAATAGAAAAACGGACAGAAACATTTATTCATATACAAAAAAGGGTGAATTTTAAACAATGACACTAAGCTTCCATGAATCAACTAACATGACATATGCAGCACTGAACACAATTTTCTCAAATATTAAACTTATATATCATTTCATATACCAGCTGATATACTTTTATCACATATTACAAAAATAATGAACTTGAAAAACCTATCAGTGAGTCTCTTTACAATTTTTGATGAAATTCTATAAGACAGTTCTCATTTTAATCTCGATTTAAACAAACATTCTGGCCTACAGGAAGGGGGGGAAATCATGTCACATGCAAGCATTAAGTGATATGACAGATTTTATGGAAACTGAGGTGGTGAAATTGCTGAACACTAAATTTACAGCACAGTAATGAGAAGACTTTGATTTATAATGAGCTAAAACTGAAAGCCTAATATTCCAAATTTCATATAGTAACATTGTGTTCATGGGTAATACTTTCTAAAGATTTATCTCATTTACATAAAATCCACAACTAATACAGAACTTTACATAAAATGATATTCACCTAATATAGAAAAAACATGGCGAATTCATAAATTAAAC